CTATTGTTCAACAGCAAAATCGTCTTTTAAGGGCAAGTGAAACATCGACATTTGGAAGCAACATGCGGCGGAACTGTCATAACTACTGAGGAAGCTATCGTTAGCGAGGAAAATTGGGCAAAGGTAATAACTCCCTTGAAAATTGACCTCTAAGATATGGCTTTTCTGATTGTTCTGCATTGTCATTTCTCCATGTTCAAGATGGATTTATAACATTTCGTAAACATTCCAGATCTCGTGCTCATCATTTAATTGTGCTGGAATTTGGTCTGTTTGTGAGCACTTGAGCATTGAAGCTCATTCGGCTGAATTTCTTCTTGACTCCTTCATCGAGGTGGATCTGTTTGACGCGAAAATCGAAGGGAACTGCCACAACGCTGGTGACTTCATTATTAACTTTATTGTTTCATAGTTAAAATCCTTACGTTAAATGCTCATTTCAAATGAGCACTCACTGAAGGTATGAAATTAAGAAATTCATTGTTTTAGGCACGTGGCAAATGAGATTCATATCGATGTCGTTGGATGGGAATTTGATAACTTTGCAAAGCGGAAAAGTAATGGTTGATGAAACGGCAGACATTAGTGCAATGACGTTCAGTTGTAGTGGTGCATGGCGAGTGAATGAATCGATCGAACTGAATCTACGTGGATCAGCAAATTTTTTCTCGTCAAGTCATTTGACGGCGAATGTGCTCAAGATGATCGTCGAGTGTCATGGAACTTTGGCCGGATTTCTAGGTGTTGAGAATCTGTTGGCGTATATTCGTAACGATTTGATAAGCGCCTCAACGGCGAAAGTGGCCATCGGCAATGGAGCGACCATAGCAACAGGAGCGTTTCGGAACGATGCCAGTTGGATATCAGAACAGAATCTACACTTGCATGTGGCATGTTTCGAGCAGTCCGAAGATGCGATCATTTTCGTCAAGGATACGTTAAATATGATTATTTATGATGATTCCGAGGAGAACAGTCATGGCCGCATAGTGGCGAACTATTGCTTGATCAGATCGAACAGAAAGTTCCGATTTGATGGCTACATACGAGTAAATCAAATCGAAATCAACTTACCGTTCACGAGTGAGTCGAGATGCACAATCGGTGGCCAGCTGGAGATTCTGGCTGGTCCGTTGATTCTGTTGGGTCATAGCGACCTTTCACCAGCATCGTTCTCATCGTCAGCGTCAACAACACATTCGTTAGTGCCGCATCAGTGGCCTGCGTTCGTTCTTGAAGGTCAACTGAAGGCCGAAGCTGTGATAGCGCCATTCTTAGCCGTACGTTTCGGCACATCATCATATGCTCTCTTGTCGGGAATTGATTCGATTATCGAAGCACCATATCGTGCGTTGGTGTCCGTTGGATCTTTGCACACAATGCCAACGTCGTTGATTGATTCTGTATCCACCGACCACTACCCGGAAGGGTTGATGTGTGCTACGGTATGGGTTCATGAGGGACAGATTCGTTTCCACGGTGATTCATCGCACTTGATCGTGGATAGTTTCTTGAATAAGGGTCGANTTCGAAAATAACGCAGTGCTATCGGCAGACAAAATTCACATTTTGGGTGATGGCGAACTGCAGAACAAGAATCGCATTTTTGCCACTGATGTGATGGATATTCAGTTGGCGAATTTTTCCAACGAAATTGGTCACATGCAATCGAAAAATATGAAACTGTTGTCGGCCACAAGGGAGTGGACGAAAATCAACGGTCGCATTGAGGCGCCAGGGAGTTTGGATATATCCGGTTCGAAGCTTTGTGTGGCCACAAAATCGTTAGACCCACAAAAAGAAATACGATTGAGTGCCAGAGCGCAAGTGTTGGTGAGCAGTGATGTTAACGACGAATTCGGAAGTATCAATTTAGCTGCCCGAGATGCGATTTTATTCGAAGCGAATGTGACATTGGATAGGATTGAGTTGACATTGGGAACTGCATATGAGGCAGAAGTGGTGGTCGGTGAAGAAAGAGTGATTACAGTGAATAATTTGCGAATAACCGGGAAGTGTAGACGCCTGACAATTACACTAAATGGATCCATTTCATGTGGCTCGATGATTGTTGAAGATTCAATTGGTCATGTTAAAATCGTTGGTAAGGGAACACTGCACTGTCGAAGGTCACTTAATGTGGCAGGCGATGGAATCGCATTCCTGCTGCAAGAGCTGTGCGCAAACGAAATACTGGCCAAATCGGTGACGTTGGACTCGAATGTTGGTTGTGCAAAGCTCACACCATCTGATGCTGCCCAATCGTTGTGCGTCTACGCTAGTTCATGCACACTTCATGGCCGCATCATGATAGATGGTAAAATTTGCCTGAAAGCCTCGAAAGGTATTGTGAAAATTGACGGTGACCTAGTGGGTTCGCCGATGAACAGTGAGTTGAGTGTGGATTGTGATGACTTGGTGTTGAGCGGGTATGTGTCCAATTTGGAATTCATCGAGGTTTACGCCCGCAAACGGATAGAATTTTGTGACACGGCCGTGATTCGTAATTCGCGCAATGCAGCCATGGAGGCTGGTTATATTGCGTTGGATGGAAAAATAAGAAATTGTGAAGCTTTACTGGCAACTGCTGACGAGGTGGCCGTTGACGGAACGTTAAGTAACGATAACTCGAGAGGTGCGTACGCAATTTTCGGCAAGACGATTCGTTTCGATGGTGTGGCCAGCGGTATTGAACATTTCGAGTTGAACAGTGCCAATGAGGTGATCATCAATGGCCGTATGAGCGGAATTGGAACCATTGAAGTGGATGCTAAATGGACTCGCTGGCATGCGGATGTGACAAACTGCCATCATATAAACGCCGTTTCGTATTCGATTGCTTTGAGCGGTGCGATTACGGCGGATACGATGAAAGTGAATTGTTTGGGGGCGATTTTCAATCGTTGCAACGTGAACACTTCATCGTTTTGTGCATTGTGCGCACCTTTTGTGTTCACAATCGGAGAGTCGGCTTCGCTGCCGAGAACCAATGCGCAAATAAGTGCGCTATTGTACGCAAGTGATAAAAGCGATTATGAGTTGAATATCTTTGAACCAGAACGGATTTGCTGGCAACTTCATTTTGTTGATGCAGTCAATGAAGAGGTGATCTCAAAACGGCAATTCGAACTCTGCCAGCAGGCAAC